AAATAGGCTTTTTGTTTATATTCAGTGGGAAGCGTCCAAAGTGTTTATAATAATTTGGAGTAATAAACATCTCACATCTGAAAGACATCTCCAGATGTTAATCTGCTGCTTGAAACATAAAATACATAAATAACGCAATCTACGTCTGAAGACGCGACTGCGTGATATTAAATTCGTAAGTTCGCGACAAGTTATAAATCCCACTTGTCTTTTTAATCTTCACTGTTAATAGACGTGTCGACGTAACAGGTTAATTGAAGTTGTTTATATTGGCGATATAAAGCTTTTCCTGCATTAAGACATAAACTAACCAGTCATGTTCCAGTAGCTCTATTTAAGGACCTGAGGTACAACAATCACCCACATCTACCAGATTTTATTGTTTTTAATACTTTCTTATTGCCAACCTAAGAGCTATAGTAAAGACTACGACGTAACTGCGCGACTTGTACTTTATTCTTGGACAGGACAGTTTGTCAGACTTGTACTTCATTCTTGTCAGGACAGTTCGTCATCCGTCGTTTACTATAGTAAGTGAATTTCTTTTTACTCGGAGAAAGGATAGAGGTAATAATCGAAGATTTATGTAATTTATTAAACAGTTATAAATCAATGACTGCTACGTTAAATACAGATATTATGTATGTATTTACTAAAAGTGAATGTTTTGTATTAGCTTTGAAATAAATTCCATATTTGCCTTCAGAAAGACGTTCCTTCTACCAACTTCAGAACAGTATTATCACTTACATAAATTGGAAAAAGAAATTAAAGCAAGTGGATAGTTTTGTAAATTGAATTCTCGGAATAGGAAATGGATCTATAGATTTTGCTTTTAGTTTTGGCCAAACGTTGATTTTCTGAATAGGTTCGTCAAAAGAATTAAACAAAAGAACCAGTGAATGTTAGGTATAACTCTGATGAACTGATTTGGCTGAAGGGTAAGTAACGATCTGTCTTTCTTCATAGCAGATACTCGTTTGAAAACTTACACCGTTTTATGAACTAACAATAGGCCTAACTTTGCAACTAATGCTTAACAGTTACTTTCTTGCAAATTTTCTTGTACAGGTGGTACTTCTTGTACCTCTAGTACTTTGTTGAAACACAGCTCAATATTCACGAAACTGATGTAACATCCGACTAACAAACTTTCTAACTTAGTAATCAGTCCATCACTGTAACAAACTCATTAATCCATCATAAATTATTCAATTAGATTTACTAACTAGCTCACTTTTTATGTGGCTCAAATCGTTTTCCAAACTTTCAAAAAAGGTTGTAGTTACACCAACTACCAGCCATTAAAACTTCCTCTAGACAAACAATAATACAAACGTCTAAATTATAAAAATATAGCCTACAACAGTAGTTTGATTTGTGACAAAAATACATTCAACTAAGGCGTCTTGACGTCCTTTAGTCAACAAAAAAAGTAACGCTAAGCGAATTTCCAGAAGACTGCGACGTATGGTCTCTTTCTACAAACTCTTCATCCACGATCGATCGATATTAGAGGAAGGGTAAAGAAAGAAGAGGGGTAAGTCGGGAACCACTTGGAATGTCAATATTAGTCAGATGTTCTTAACGAAATAGAAGTTCACACAGTGTAAAACTATATATATTTGACATTCATCATCTGTTGACAGTTTCTTCTTAACGTCACTATTGCTCAACATTTTTGGATTAAATCACTACAAGCAGTACCCATAAAATTGTTTGTATTAATCATATGCACTTAGTTAACTGGAGTGCTTTCTCTATCAGTGTTTTCGGCTTTGAAAACTTGAAGAGAACCAGACAACTATAAATGCAAGTAAAATTCAACATTCTTATATCTGATAATGTACTCGTAAGTTTTGGAACAGCAAGTTAATTTGTTATATATTATTTTATATGGTCAGTATTCAAAATACTTATTAAGTATAATATATATATTGTAATATTATTATTATTATTAATTATAATGCATTATAATTATAACTACGCTAAAACCAAGTTCATATTAATTACGTTTATATTTATAAAGGTTTAATGAGCCAGAAAATGATATTTATGTTAAATATTTTATGAGCTGATCAATGAATTTTTACTGCCTTCGACTTAGATATCGAAATACATGACATAAACATTTACACGTAAATGCAAAGTTTACATTTCAGTTTTGTTACGAATAAATGTTATAGTTGTTGCTACGAGTCAGTGGTTTAATGAAAATTTGTTGTACTTTGAGACTATACCAAGTCGTTACATCTTCTGCTGATTTAAACTTGTGAATTCGTCACCAAGGACAACATTGAAAAATTTTTTTTTTTATTTGAAGATGAAGTAGGTTTAATTTAAATCTAGAATAAATATTAGGGTGCATGGAAAAAGGACAGAAAAACAACATATTATAGTAACCTTAAGACAGACATTAGGATAGTTTCAAACTTGTGTAATTTCAACTAAGAAGCTTAATAAACTCACATTAAGAATAATTAACATAATGATATTACCATTAACATGTACATTTTTAGAACTATGCTTCTAATACTATGAATGCTGTTTATACAGAATGTTTCTTCTGAATAATTACATCTTATTAGGTGGAGGGTCTAGAGTTAGCGTGCCAGGACTGTGAATTCAAGGATTTAATGTTTGCATCCCTTTGTCACAAAAACGCGCTCAACTTTTTGGGGTCTTGAATGCACTATAAAAGTAATGATCAATTCCCACTATTCGGTCGGATAGGAGTATCCCAAGAGTTGGCGATGGGTGCTGTTGACTAGCTACCTCCATCCTAGCCTATAACTTCAAACTTAGGAACGATTAACGACGATAGCCTTTGTGAAGTTTCATGCGAACATTCTAAACCAAACAAACAATATAGTGGAAGATGAATTTTCACGTAACTTGGCGTAACTTCACGTATAAATTGAAAACCGAAAAAGTTTTGTGTGAATTTTTGTACAACAATTTTTGTAAGTACTATATCGAGCTTCTGCTGTCTTTTGAAAACAATTTAAAGTACAGGTATGAATTTTAGGATAATAAATTATACTTTATTACCCAGAAATAACTTTTATAAATATAATTTTAACTTCAACATTAACTGGAACGTATGAAAGTTACAACTATAGATTATCTTAAATAAAACGTTTACGAAAAAAAAAATAATAAAAGCAATAAGTTCAATCGTATCTGTAAAATAACGTAGGTTTTTTTATATACTTAATAACCGAAACACAGGTTTGTGCGTTCAGCTGATGCTTGTAGAGGATACTTTTGAACGTTCCAAACAAAAGACACATGCTAATATAAATATATCAGAACACACCAGAATTTGACAGGAATATCAGTTTCAAAAGAAACCATTATAATGAAAGAAACTTATCAATAGTTATAGCGTTTTGTAAACTTAAATAAACCTTAAGGGTACAATAAATACGGTGGTGTAAGATAAACTATTTTACCACATGGAAATAATAATCACCTCTGCTGTGATTTAGTGATGTTTGGTAAAATTCCTAAAAGAACTCGCATTAAATGATTACTTTAATTGTACAGTTCACCTACATCATTTTATGTTGTTGTAAAGTTTAATGTGTTTTAATATTTAAAATTCAGCTGATCTCTATTTGTAATATATTACATGTGGGATCGTTACCATCATGCGCTTGTAAAATTCTGGTTTATCTTGTAATCTTGTTATAACATTAGTTAGAATTATCCCCGCCCCAGTGATTCAGTGGTAAGTATGGGGGGGGTTATAACGCTAAAAATCAGGTTTAAATACCTGTAGTGGGCACAGAACAGATAACAATGTGTAGCTTTGCGTTACCCCCCCCCCCCCCACACACACACATAGCAAAAACAGATCAATCGATGACGTCTCATTATTTCTTATTGGTATTTAAGATTATATAAAAGTGTGCGGCTGTTTTATCTACAAAGAAAGCATGTGTACTTTAAAAAACCTTCATCGTATAAAGTAGAGGTTTGTTTGAAGTAGATAATATTGCTTACAAAACTACTAATCAAGATAAAGTAAATACAGATATCTAAATGTTCGAGAAGCTAAAGCCACGAACTTCGAGTTCTATCTTAGGTTGATAACATGAAAGAGATAATACTGATGCCTTCTAACTCGTTAGAATGGAAATAGACCAGCTTGTCCTACTTTAAGATGGCCTTTATATAACTGCACCGATACTAAACGTAAATATGGCTGATATAAGCACTAGCTGCGCAAACATCTGTTCTCTTCACCTGTTAGCTCATATGTATTACGATACCACTTAAGTGAGCGGTTTCAGGTAAGACTTTTTTTCCCATTCAACTACGTATACTTGAGCCTAACTGATGTAACAAGCGCAGAAAAATAATTTCGGTTTTATAAAATTATTTTCTTCCTCAATACTTGTTTCTTTCATATCTTTCATCTTAAGGTTTTGATACCTAAGATAGCCCTTTGAAGCTTTGTATTAACCAGTTACCATGACATTTTATTAGTATAATATACGTAAATGATTAAACTAAGTTCACATTAAGCTTCTAACAACCCTCTCTCTTTCTGGGAAGCTTCTCTCGTCTAAGGTTAGGTAAAGGATTGACCAACTATATAACGTGATGATAGCTATTTATAAACACAGAATGTCAAGTACTTCAGATATTAAACGTTTACTTTGTTGTTTTATATCGCATAGTTCTCGTATTGAATTATAACAAAAATCAGAAGTTAATCAGATATGGCTATTAGTGTCCAGTTTTACATTAGTGCTGTTTCTTTTTCTATCGTATAGTTTTCGCTTTGAATAACATACAGAAATGGGAGTTGATCAAATATGGTTAAAATGATTCAGAGTGAAGAAACTAATGTCAGCAAATCAGCAATAGCAGCTCGTCGAATATTGAATAAATAAAACGTTTATGAAATTGCATCTCAAAATATTTTATCATGTCACATACATTTAAAGTGTCTCATGTAATGTAAGTTAAGAAATAAAACACATTTTTACCGTAACCAGCTAAGGATTGTAATTTCATACTCCTTCATTTTTCATCGCCCATGCTAAGTTGAGTGTTAGATCTAGCTCTAAGTCTCGTAGCCTCGTTCCCACTTTCTCACTTGAAGAAAATAAAATGTGGGTGCATACATAAATACACACCTATAAACTTTCTCGGTTAGCTTTAACAATAGCTTATTTTTGTTTGATTCCTTAAAGAGTTATATTACAGAAAAATCTGAAATACTGAAATTTTTGTTCATTATATAAGTTGCTTACTTACCGAATATCTATGAAGTAGGACAGTATAGATTTATTAATAAGTCAAATATAATTAAAATTATTACACCACAGACATAGAGAGATAAAACTAAAAAAATATTTGGCCTCGCTAGTTTAGAACGTTTTATAAATGGTAACTAATATTCTTCTTCTTTACTTATTGTATTATTGTTTACTTAAGTTTTAACATGAAAATAGGACATGAACTATTTTCACTAAAAGTAAAAATAAAAACGCTTTCGTCTAAATTATAAAGCTTCAAATCATACTTAATCTAAAATCAGCCCATAATCTTTTTCATAAAGAACTTTGGGAAGTATACATATAAACACTTTTCAAGAAAAATAATTCTTAGATATTATGCTATTAGCTATTTTATTCGTGATTTTTGTTAAAATAATTGCATAGTTGAGAGTTTTTACATGAAAAGAGTAGGTACAAAAGTATCAAGGTTGTTTTTCCAAAGAAACAAGTTAAACCTATTAGACAATGTGTGTGTGTCTGTGTATGTGTGTTGTTAAGGTACACCGTCACTTTCTTAGTCACAAACGTGGATTAAGCATCGTCAATTCTTAATTAATCCATTTTTATAAAGTAAAAAAGTCATATTTATTATTGCATATCTTAAATTAATTTTTAAACCTGAAATTGAAAATAAATCAAAAAAGGAAGAATAAAATATTAAAAGTAAACCGGTGTAGCGTAAAAAACTCCAAAGAAATTTAGGTATAAAGCTCTCTCTCTCTCTATATATATATATAGAGAGAGAGAGACTGAGATATATACCTATGTGTAAATTTTGTAACAAGCATGCAGAGGAAATAATTTGGCTTATTATAACACTAGGCCATTACCATAACACTAGGCCATTACCATAACACTAGGCCATTACCATATGTAACGTCATGCATTAGTTACGTATGAAACAGCCTAATCATACGCTGTTTAAACAATTTGCATGTAACGTCTTGTATTATTTGGTTATGGATTAGCTCAATCATACGCTGTTTAGACAATATGCATGTAATGTCTTGTATTATTTGGTTATGGATTAGCTCAATCATACACTGTTTAAACAATATGCATGTAATGTCTTGTATTATTTGGTTATGGATTAGCTCAATCATACGCTGTTTAAACAATTTGCATGTAACGTCTTGTATTATTTGGTTATGGATTAGCTCAATCATACGCTGTCTAAACAATATGCATGTAATGTCTTGTATTATTTGGTTATGGATTAGCTCAATCATACGCTGTTTAAACAATATGCATGTAATGTCTTGTATTATTTGGTTATAGAACAACTTAGTCACACTAAGGTTGATAAACATTCTATCAGCATACAACTTGTTATATCACGTAATCTCAGTTTCATATTTTTGTCAGTATGCAACTACAAAGGAAATTAAACTAAGAAAACTGCTTATAATTTCAAGAATTGTTTCGCCATAAATAAGACGTTTCTTGAAGTATAGATATTTTACATCAGATTTTTTTAAATATCAAATCAAGAACTTTATAAGCTTAACTATCTTCTAAGATACAGTAGCAGTTATACTCTCTGCCTCCGAAGAATGAATTAGATTAACTATTGAATCTAAAATCTCAGAGGAAATAAGTTCTATATAACTCTGATTCTCTTAGTTCTTCTTGTAATGTAAAAACAAATTATTTGTTTCGAAGCTAATTTCCGAGGATAAAACTGTCTCTATGTTGACTGACCACTGCTTTCGAAAATCGATTACCAGTGAAAACACTTTCATTCGCTTAGTGTTTTTTAGCACATACTGCAGTTGTTACTATAGCAACGGAAACAGTGCCTACTCAGTTAATGTCTCATTATTAAGAAAACTTGGTTGTGTTTGATGTCTTCGTGTTAAATGAAGCAATCTAGGAACGACACTTGTAGTGCAATAGTAATATCTAATTTCATTTTGTGATTATATTTCCATCTAATGGTGAGATATTTACAATTTCTATAGAAAAATCGCTTGTGTTCTTCATCACCTTATAGAATGGCAATGTTTATGAACTATTTTGTAAAAATTCATTTTGTTATCTATTCCGAGAAATTAGGCTTGTGTCATCAAAATGATAGGAGTTAATCATTATATATTATTAAAATATGATTTAATATATTTCTGATATATTCATCTCTTAATTGCGTCAGTATCTGCATGCATGTTTTTTCTTTCTGAAACAACTATCTTTTTTTATGAAAACAATTTTACTTTGGTAAAAATGAATAAATGTAATTTTGTTTCAGAAAAACCAACCGACGTTAGCCAAGTTCGATCATCTATAATATTGTGATGCAAATACTTCTGTTTAATGTAAGATTAGTATAAGAACTTGTGAGTGGAATTAAAGAAAAATGTAATAATATGTCATCCACACAGTATCTGCTGTATACTACTCTAGCTCCACTCCAGTAAAGGTTGAGAAAGAATTTGGGGATTTGTTATAATTGTTTCCTATATTTACATGTGTAGGATATGAAAGGAATAGACAAAAAATGGCGGCGAAGCGGTGGATGCTGGGGATTATACCCCCCACACACGCACGTACACTTTTCGTGATACAAATATATATAGATAGGCTCATATTAGAAGTTGGAATGAAGGATTGAGCACAGAATATAGTAATAAGTGGAAATGAAATTGACTGAGATATTACACGTGAAGGAGGTGAATATTCAGTTAAATTTATACATATGTGCACATGAACTAAAATACCACTTTTTATTATACGTATTCATAAAAAAGTTACTGTATCTGTTTTTTAATACCGCTAGAGAAGATCATATATTATTGGTCAAGGAAGGAGGTGTATATAGTAAGGTGTTTAGGATCCCATATCGTTGGTCAAACAAAGCGATATGTAGTTTAGTGTAGAAATTCATATATAATTAGTCAAGTAACGGGAATGTAGTTATGTATGGAAGATTATATATCATTGGTCATAGAACGGGGTGTGTAGTTAGGTATGGATGATTAACTATCAACTTAACCAAAGCGGTATATTGTTAGGTATATTGGATCGTGTATTACTGGTCAAGGAAGAAGAAGCATAGTTAGGTAGAAGATCACATATTGTTGGTTAAATAGGGGACAATATAATTAGGAATGTAAGATAACGTATTTTTGATCCAGAATAAGGATATATAATTACTTGCAGTTACTTCCGACGGTTATTATGCATTATATAAAGTAAGGTCATACAATGAATGTCGTAAACATATTCATTTCTTGCTCCTTAACTTATGGTAGCAAGAGGAGTTAGTCAGATAAAAGAGCCTAGAATTAATTATCGCTTCAGCTAAGTAAGAGAGTTATTATATAGAATATATTACATAAGGTAGAATAATAAAGTAATTAAAACTAGTTGTAGTGCTGATCTAGAGATTCGGTCTATAATTAACTACGATAATTAACATGCGATTATCTAGCTATTTCCGTTTAAAGATATTGGCTGTTATTAAAGGTTTGGTTGACTAAGGTTGAAGAAGACTTCACTTATATAGATTTGACCTAAAAGATTATTGATCGATGATGAAGAACGTAGCGAAGTATTAGAGAAATAAAGTAGAAACCTCAGCTTTATAAGAGTATATTTATAAGATAAAAGTTTCAGAGTTATCTAAGTAAAATCATGCACATTCTAGCCAAGATATATCATCTGGATAAGATATAAGTAATACTATTTTGTGTTATATTAGTAAAAGTCTAAAGATTTCGTTGCTCATTAACATTTCGTAAATAGTATCGTCTAATTCTAGTTTTAAAAATCGAACAAAAATTAAAAATCAAGAAAAACATTTATCGAACTGTTTTCACACTATGTGAACAATATGGTGTGCAGTTAGACTCAGTGGTCTTTGAAATATAAAGCAGAAGTTTGTCTGTAACATTATAGTAATAAAATATAATACTATTAATGTATAATGAAATAGAGAATCTTGATGAATTAACATAAAGCTCCAGTGATCATATTGAAGAATGTGTTTGAAGTTAAGCTACACAATGGGCTATCGGTGCTCTGCCCACCACGGTTATCGAAACCCGGTTTCTTGCGTTTTCAGTCCGCAGACATACCGCTGTGCCACTAGGGGGCGGAACTGACGAATTCTAATGATTAGTTCCAGACCTTAGATTAGTAATAATCAAACTCTTTCGGATTCTTTATTGTAAATTTCTCTCACGTAATAGGTATGTTACATTTTAAAATATGTCTTGCAATACTTGACAAGTGAGTATTCTCGTACGTAACAGCACCCCGCTGGGGCAGCGGTTTATGGACCTACAACGCTAAAATCTAGGGCTCGGTTCCCCGCGGTGGACACAGTAGATAACCCAACGTTGCTTTGCTAAGAAAATAAACAAACAAAACACACGTATTAGGTATCTTGGGTTTACGCAACAATTTATGATAATAACATGAGCCGTATTTTCAAGCGGAGTTCACTTAACAGCCTTGTCATTTATATTAATGATTATACCCTGCCAAATAATATACCTACAGTATTGGTGATATACGCTAGTCCTAAGATAATGCATATTGATAAGGTATGCCGTTGTGAAAGTACCATTAAAACGACGTTAAACATTTATTTGCTGGTTGGTGTACGTTCCAAAATGTCGTTAATATTCAAAACATAAAAAAATCGATGAGAAGCTAATTCATTAAAATAGTCTTCTGTATTCAGGAAAGATCTATTTGATAAACTTGTGTTTTATATTAATATTTTTAATAAACTAGAACTATCATGAGTTAACAATCATTATGTGTCGATTCTGAGGCCGTTTTAGCCAATTTAAAAGTTGCGCTAAGTTGAATAGGCGAACAGTTGTTTGATTGTTTTAGCTTCAGTTGAATGTAGTAGTATGAGCCATACGTGGTCTGTGATTAGCTTGTTAGGTCTATGAGCAAGTTTGTTTAATAAACCAAAACTACCACAAGTTAACAATTATTATATAACGATTTTAAGACCGTTTTAAACTATTGGAAAGTTTCAACAAGTTGAATAGTTAGATAGTTGCTTTGATTGTTTTTTGTTCTTTTTTGTTTGTTTGTTTCAGGTGCGTGGCCCGTGGTTAGCTTGCTAGGTCTATGAATCCCAGAGCTCTTAATTCATGTGTTGTAACCCGCAAAAACGAACTTCGCACTTTGAGGTGGGTCGCAACTGTATTGAAAGAGTGACGGTCAAATTCGATTATTCGTTCAGACAAAAATTAGTCTTGTTTTCGATCTATCAGTTCAAAACTAGGGACGGCCATACGAGAACAGCCTTGTTTTGCTTTGCAAGAAAATAAACAATAAATAAACAAAACAGATGTAGTGCATTGCTTACAACGTTAAAATGCATCAAACTGTTTAATAAAACAGGGACATTGTAAATTGGGTGAATATCTATACTTCTTAGACACTTAGTAGTTTTTAACTTCGTTAGTATTTCCTTTAATTTGTTTAGATATGCTTATATAAATCCTCGGCTGCTTCCACAATACATTGTTGTCAGTTTGAAAACGTACATGCCATTAATGTCCAAAATGTGGTTTTGCCTATTATTTCCCCCTATTAAAAAACACATATCAACAAATAATTTTTCACTCGTAAAGCTAGTAGCAAAGAAAAAGTACATGATATCCTGTTCAGCGGAATACTTCGTGAAGTATCTCAGTTGTTTGAGATACCCCCTTCATATAAATATATTATAAAATAGTCATTGTGATTGTCATGTGGAATCACTTACCTTTATATAAAATCTAATAGCTTAATTCTTCACACGGTTAATAAAAACAATAATAAGGCAGATTTATAAAAGGTACCTTTTACCATTTGGCGAATGTCATAAAACCATACGGTTCATAAGGCTTATACTTGTTTAAAATTTCAAGTCATATAAGAGTAACGATACGATTAAGTGGTAGTAACTAAAGGAATAAGTTTAATTCATTCATCCGTTTTTAGTGGAGCTAGTGAGTCTCTTCCGCATTAACTATAATTCCTTGTCTCTTCCCTCTCTACACTGTTTAATGGAGTTTGAAGGTCAGAAGGTGGGGTATTTTGTCACGCGTTTTGTTTTATACTAGCAAAATTCTTCTTGACATTGAACTCACAAGAGGTACTGGAGATTCATTAGTATAAGAAAAATAAATGCATTTTGATGATTTTCCATTACTTTTTAGTACCTTAGCTTGATCGTTATGGTTGTCTGACCTGGAATTGGACTTGATATTATAGTCAATTGCTTGTCAAGAATACGAAAAGAATTAAGTAAGTTTGTTTATGTATATTAATTAGTCATATATTGCCATGCTAAGAAGCAAAACGCGTAATAATTTCAGTAATTATATTTATTTAAATTAATTTTCATTACAAACACTGTTGGAGTCTTTATTGAGTTTTGTGGCATTGCTTTTCTATTTGCTTGATGTGTGGTTTTTTAGTACAGATGTATACACAATGACTTATCTACGCTCTGCCCTCAGCAGAAAATCAGAATTTAGCGTTGTAAGTCTGTAAACTTACCGTTGCCCAACCGGGAGACATTCTGATTTTGTAATGAGATGATAACCATGGTGGTATCAGTAATCTTTTCGTACAATGTTCACAAAAAGCCTGTTTATAGTAATATATTAGACATGTGCCGACATTGCGTATTAGAATACAATATAATAGCAAGTAGTAACAGTTAACTTCAGCTAATTTCGATGAGCAGATCCTGTTACAATATGTATGCTTCTATATCTTTTCTATAAATTATTCCAACATTAAGGAGGTTAAACATTTCCCTATACAACAGCTTCACACAAAAAAACGCAAAAAAAGTATTTACAATTTTTCTGTGACTATTACCACGTGTGAATGAATCACCCAGTATGTAAAAATACGAAGCAACATCTTGTTACTAAGACTGTTTATTAGCACCATTGTTATACTGAACACAATCTGTTTATATTAGTGTTCTGTTGACCCAAATATGATCAGAATAAATAGCCATAGGAGTAGACAAACTGGATAAGTACATTATGTAAGAGGCTTTATTTAGAAGTTGTTTTCCAGTGACACAGCAGTATTTCTGCGGACTTACAACGCTAGAGAGATGGTTTCGATACCCGTGGTGGGCAGAGCACAGACTGCCCATTATGGAGCTTTGTGCTTGCTTAAGTTCAAAACAAACAATTTAGAAGTCTCGGCAAACATATAATGCAATAAACTAGTTTCAAACAAATGTATACACAATGACTTATCTACGCTCTTCCCTCAGCGGAAAATCGCAATTTAGCGTTGTAAGTCTGTAAACTTACCGTTGCCCATCCGGGAGAAATTCTGATTTTGTAATGAGATGATAACCATGGTGGTATGTATATATAGTTTTTTGTGTTACTTTGTGTTTATTACATGAAATAGAATTTGCGAAATAAGGCTATCCATAAAATGGAAATGAACAGTACAACTTCAACAATGTCATATAATGTTTTTAGTAATCTCTTCAAAAACGTTTGCAGCTTTATATTACCCAAATGCAGGCTCAGGTCACTGTACAGTTTCGATGTGGATTTCTATTCTTTACTTGAGTTGTTACGATTACTTATTTCTAGTTTATTTTTGACATTATCTTCACGTTCGCCTCTCTGTATTAAGTTACAGAATGGAATATACAATCAAACCATAAATTTCCGACATATAGTCGACATTTGCATTACCCATTGTTGATATTTGTGATTAAACAAAACCAACTACCCAGCTGTGAAAATCATTAGCACCATATTCTTACTTCTTGCTTCTCATAAAGGTACAAATCAATTAATAAGGCACGAAACTAGTTTGTTTGTTTTGAATTTCGCGC